GCTTAACGATCTTTATTAGCAGGTAAATGAAATTCATGTACTTACCATTCAGAAGCATGTTTCTTTGTTATCTAGGACTCCAACTGATTGACGTTCTTGCAGTGTTGGTTTCTGGGGTCGTATTTTCTTGGTCATGGCTACTTCTGGTATGTAGTATCATGCACTAAATGCTCTTACGTCGTTTTTTTCCTCTCAATTTCCCCAGGAATAATTAAAAAATCTAATCTAGTAAAATAAAGTGTTGTCACTGTGGCTTTCGCCCATCTTGAGGCTGCTTTGGAGAAGCTGTTAAAACCTGGTGCTTGTGAAAACATAACGAAAGCCCTCTTGGAGTAGGCTGTTAGCAGATGGGCTTCAGCTCAGCTGCATGCCATCTGCTCTGTGAAGAGAACTGACGATCATCTTGGTGATCAAAGCTGGTGTGCTGGCACAGCTGACACCGTGCCCAGGGGCTGATGTGCTTCTTCATAGGTGTTTGAAGAGAGAAGGCTGGATTGCATGTTTCTTTGAAACCTGGTGTCAGTTCTTGGCTGTGTCAGGTCTATAGGTAAACACCTTGAAACTTCCTTAAATTTGTCATTGGAGAATGGGTGAATTTTCATTGGAAATGGGGATAATTTTGTTTTCATGGCCCTGGATATTAAAGGCTAAAATCAAATGTCAGGTGCTTGGGCAACGTAGTATTGATGAAGAACTGCAAACAAAATTGCCTGCCATGTTTTTGAATGGTGGTGCTGCTTAAAACAGGAGTATTGGCTCAAATACTAACTGCTTCCTTAAGTGGGCTTTGTGATACTGAGCTTTTGAAGGCTGTTGCTCAAGTTACTTCAATCCCTGGCTTAAAATACTGTTTTGTTTCCTTGTCGTCGTGTCGTCCCCCCATCATGTTCCTAGATATTCAAGTGAAGGAACTGGAGAAGCGTGCCTCTGGGCAGGCATTTGAGCTGATACTCAGTCCCCGCTCAAAAGAAGCAGTCCCAGAATTCCCTCTTTCTCCCCCAAAGAAGAAGGATGTGTCATTGGAGGAGATCCAGAAGAAATTGGAAGCAGCAGAAGAGAGGCGTAAGGTAAATTTGAATCGGCGTAAGTGAGCTCTGCTCAACTAGTCTGGGCGAGTTGTTTTGCTTTTTGTTTGGCTTTTCATATTCTTATTAATTTGATGCTTGGGATAAGTGATTCTCAATTTGTATTATGGTAAATGCAGTATTAATTGAACTACTTTGAAGTCTCTGGGGCTTTAGGGAACCCTTGTTATGGTCTGCAAAGCTCCAGCTTTGTTCCCAAAGCGATCTTGAATGGTCACTGGAAGAACTCGACTCTCTTTAGCTGAGAGGGGATGCACTTTCAGGATGAAGTGTGTTTTCTGGTCTTTAACATCATAAGATCCATTTTCTCCTAGAAAATGTAGTGGTGAATGTGTAATGAGAAGGTGTGTGAATGCAGTGTCTAACGTGGTGCAGGATCTTGCTGTTGACATGTAGCTTGGAGCCCTTGCATATGCAGAGGCTTACTAATAGAAGTGCAGCCTCCTGTATGACCTGCATCAAATAGATTCCCCATTCTGAGAAGTCAGAATTTTCTAGGAAAGATCCATCAGTGTTAATACTTTAAAAGTGGGGGGGGGTTCCCCCCCAAAACCCCCTCCATTTAACAAAACTTGTGTGTACAACAGAAACATCACTCTTGTCCTAGGTTGTAATGGTGAAATACAGGTTCTGTGGGTAGGGGGAGCACCAGAGAGCTTGGTCCTGTATCACAGTTATGCTGTTCTCCAGTAAACCAGCAGCAAATCTTTTCCCCTGGGAGCTGTGAGCAGCTCAGCTGTAGCTGTCTGTGTAGTTCATCTCTCGTGGTCAAAGCACCCACCCTCTGTTTTGTCAGTCTCATGAAGCAGAAGTCCTGAAGCAGCTGGCTGAGAAGCGGGAGCATGAGAAAGAGGTGCTTCAGAAAGCCATTGAGGAGAACAACAACTTCAGCAAAATGGCAGAGGAGAAGCTGACCCACAAAATGGAAGCTAACAAAGAAAACCGTGAGGCACAAATGGCTGCTAAACTGGAACGCTTGAGGGAGAAGGTGGGTGTGGGCTCCCAGGTCCCCTTTGGGAGCGAGTTATCCGTGCTCCTTACTTTAAATACTGGTTGAATAAAGCCAAGTAAGTGGGGGTGCTGTGAATCTATAGACATCCCTGGTGGTTCTGTGCTGGTCTCCTCTTGAAAGATGATTAAATCTGCAGAAATCCTCCTCTTGGGGGAGAGGGAATGGATGGAGCTGGAGCAACATCTCGCTGCTTTCTTACAAAGCTTCATCCTGGAGCTGCTGCCAGTATCCCATGCTCACAGGTTGCTGTGGGAAGCAAGCTGGAGCTTGCTTGTGCCAGCCTGGAGCCTGCCTGTCCAGGCCTGGGCAGCTAACTGCTTCCTTGCTGTTGTCTTTCAGGACAAGCATATTGAAGAGGTTAGAAAGAACAAAGAAGGCAAAGACCCTGGTGAGGCTGAAACCGACTGACTTCATTCTGGAAACTGATTCTCTCCCCCTCCTCTAAATATCCAAAGACTGTACTGGCCAGTGGTTTTATCTTTGGTTTTGTTTTGGTTCTGGGTTTTTTTTGTTTAAGTTTCTAGAATCTGATGTAGAACTGTAAAATTAGATCCAAACTGTACACTTTGCTTGGGGGCTAGAGGAGAGACTTTCCATGTTTCACTTTTTCTAAAGTGTTGTCTTTCCAGTGTAGCTATCTTCTTGTTGCATCCTTTTCTACTCCAGCACGCTCGCTGCTGGGTTGATGGCTAGTACTGTATCAGCTCTGTAAGACGTTTGTGAAAGGAATAAGTAGAATATACTGTTCCATGCTAAATATGTTACACTTCAAAAATCTGACTCTGTCCCAGTCTGCTAAAATACTGCTGTAACTGAGTGACTAAATAAAGCTGCACAGTGCTGTTATGAGAATGACTTCTGAAAATGACATGAGAAACCAAGCGGGTTTGTCTGAGGTCGGCAGCAGGCTCCCCGTGCTGGGTGGAAGGGTCCTTGCATCCATGGGCATGCTCCTGCCTTTCCTAGAGCGCTCCCATTGTCTTCACTCTACAATCAGAGCTTTGTTTGGACACCTCAGCAGTCGTCAGCTGTTGTGTGTTTTTGTTCAAAAGAGTTCAGAACCACCTCCCTTTGGGTGCTGATGCTTCAACAAAGGAGCCCTTGTTGCCACATGACTGATCCGAGCCAGTTTTTGATGAGGGTTTCTGGAAGATGACTTGTTCTGTTGAATAGTGACTTGTGTCCTGTGGTGTCAGAGCAGAGAAGGCAGAAACCTGCTCTGTGCTGGGATCCTCAGCCTGCCCCGAGGACAACGCTGGTGTGGCCAAGAGTTACTCTTGTTTTGGTGGGTGCCGGGTGCCTGGGGACAGCGCACGTGCCCCAGGGCCAGGCTGGAGATTAACTCCTGTGCATAAGGATGAGCGTGTCTGCGCTCTGGTGCGTGAGGAATGGTACTTGTGCTCTGCATGAAGATGCTTTTTGGGTGGGTTGGGTACAAAGTTGCTGTATTGTACCAGCTGCCTTAAAAACACCCCAAACCCTTCCTCTAAGACACCTGTAGGGGCTCATGCTCCTCTGGGAGGACAAGGTTGCAGCTGGTGTATGAACAGCCACTGAACTTCAGTACAAAGCCCATGTCCTGAAGTGCTCTGCTTCAGTGTGTTCCCTTGGAGCAGGGAAGCCTTGGGCCTCACAGCTTCTGTCTGTGTCAAGCACTGGTGGCACCGCTCTTGGTGAGGTCCTGTCCTGCTCCATTTGTGTTCTCGATCTGGAGGCCTGGCTGCCAGGTTTGGTTGCAGGTTGACTCCACGCATGGAGCATCTTGCACTACCCAAGTGACAGATTCTTACTGTTTTCTTTAAGGGGCTAATGAACCCTGGACCACTTGACCTGTCTTCTGGGGCTTGCTAAAGAAGGAACCTCAGTTTAGAAAGCTTTCTAATGTATCACACTTGCTATCCTTGATTGTATCAGAGTTATAATTAACCAAAAGCTAATATTACTCTGTTTGAATGAAAGAAGATTTGAGATAAGCCAGGCACGGGGAGATGTGATTGGATCCCTTCCCTGGAGGAGTTTCAGAGTGTTTTGATCCTAAGGTAAGAGCCTGTACTTTCACCCCCTGGGAAGCAGCCACCCATCTACAGCAGAGGCATAGGGCAGGTTCAGGGTTTTTAATGGCACATGTCAACCTTGTGTAAGCTGAGAGCGTGGGGCTGGGGGCCAGGCTCCATGTGGGGAGGTGAGGACCACAGAATACAGAGCTGAGCTTTGAGACAAAGGCTTGAACCTGCTCTGTAGCGTGCTTACCAACGAGGCTGAATATGTACTGCTGCATAATGGAGGTGTGATGCTGGATCAGATGCCAGGTACAAGATCAGGCAATATCAGCAATCAGACCCCCTCAGTTCTTCATTATTAATCTATTTCTTCACTTGCTGAGAGAAGAGGGAGAACTCCAAATACTGCCTGTGTTTGTGGGGGTCCCTCCTGTCTTTTCAAGGGGTGCGAGAGGAGGATGATGGCGCTGCCAAACCCCAAATGGTTGTTAAGCACAAAGAGACAGTGAGAGTGAGTTTCTGACTTGCCAAAGCTGTCAGCTCTCAGCTCAGGGCCTTCTGTTCCCCTGTCCTAGTCCTGCTGTGTGTGGCTGCCTGCGTTAAGCTTAACTGGAGCTTTGTGTCGGGGCTCTGAGCTTGGTCTCGCAGGTCCTCAGAGCTGTGGGAAAATGGAAGTTTTGGGGGAGCAAACAGTGAGAGGACGTAGTGATCTGAGCACGGGCAGAGGGG